AAAATTAGAAGAGTTCTAAACTAACGCACTGTCTTCACTGTATGTAACGCACACACGCTCAAGGCTGATTTAAGGCAGATTTATACTCGAGCGTCCGCAAGTTCGCTTTGAGTGCGCGCGACGTTATTTCGCGTGGCGGTGTGCACAACATCTTTTGTAACTTTCCGCTCAGCTCCACTTCCGAAGATGCACGAGTTCAAAGCGACTCTAGCCGAACATGCACGTCTGTGCCAGCATTTGTGTGAAACAGAAGCAGTTTATAATGTGAGAAATGTTGAAGGTGTCTGAATAAATTTTGGTTTGACTGTATCTATTTGATAAATGAAGTTAACCAACTAACATTATACATACCCTTTTGGTTTCTGTACCCAATATTTAAAAAATGTACAAATGCAAAAAAAAATATCGGTATCGGTACTCGGTATCGGCAAGTACCAAAAATAAAAGTATCGGCATCGGGCGAGTACTGAAAAAAGTGGTATCGGTGCATCCCTAGTACAGACACATTCTGGGAACACCTGAAACTTATATTACATATTGTAAAAAGGGGCATAATATGTCACCTTTAAGAAAGACTCGCTCAAGTCTACAGACGCGTGACAGACCAGGATCATACCGTTTATGCTGGTAAATGTCATCATATGAGTCAGTATTTGATATTTAATTGTGAACATGCATTTCTGCCCATTTTCTTACTTTTGCCACGTTTTAACACTAACCTAAAGAGACAGTGCTGGATTACAGCATAGATTTAACCCTTTAAGAGCACTATTTCATGAAGAATGTTTTTTCTTCAAATTATAGCTCACACCGTTAGACTTAATTTTAATTCAAACTGACTTGTGTCTATAGCAGATCACGAAATGAACAGTTATACTTATTTCACGCCACAGATTATAAATGCTGTGAAGCATAAAATCACTATTACACGAACTTGACATTGACAAACTACTACTTTTTTTTTTGTAATTTTAGCACTTTTTTTTACTGCCAATTTAATATCAGCCATAAAATTACAAAATAAAAATCAAATAAAAATTGCAATTGTGTACATAATTTATTTTAATCTTAGTTATTTTTCCGCAAATTTTCCCCAAAATATAACGAGTCTAAAAACATGCAAACACAAATAATAATAATAATAATTTGTACAGTGCCTTTAAAACTCAAAGCACTTTACAACATAGCAGAATAAAACAAATACAGCAAATAAGAAATAAACAAACAAACAAACAAACAAACAACATAATAAAATAAGGAATTAAGGAAAATGTATACAAAAACCAAACAAATAATCCAGCAATTGTTATTTTGAAATAAATGTTTTAAAACAATATAAATAAATATGGTCTTTAAATATGACTGATATTGACAGAATGATCAAATTTAGCACTCTTAGGGAAATATGATAATGTTTTGTAATTATCATTTAAATCTGGCTAATTTTAAAATTGTTTATCGTAAATAAACATCTCAGAAAAATGTTATGGGGTTTCAAATCAGAATATGACTTTGTTATAAAACGGGGCATAATTTTCATACATGTCTTCTGTCTAGGACTCCAGGACAAACATGTTAATCAGGCATTTTGGGGAAACACAACAAGAAATTATAGATCAATATTCCTATGAAATATGAGATATTCTTATGAAAATGTCGCCAAGTTATTACTCCCATTATTACACCTTGTTTTTCATTATGGGTTGCCCCAAGAACACATTAATTTGCAAATTAGATGCAATGTATAGAACGGGAATACCAGTTTATGGACATTTTACAAACATATTGCTTAAAGTAAAATATTACATCAGATCATCATGTGTTATATCTTTCATAACATATTTTAGAATCATCTTTATACAACGTTTAGCTAAAAATAGCCTGAAACTTACAAACGGAAAAATAAAGAACAAAAAATAAATAAAAATGAACAAAAAAATAAATCATTGTTTTTGCCTTTTCATGTTGATTTTTTTTTTTTTTTTTTTTTTAATAACTTAGTCCCGGCGTTCGGACACAGAATAAAATATGAATAAAATATATTTTTTCAGATAAGTTTTTTCTTATTCTCCAACCAATGTAATGACATAAAAAAACAACAAAATTAACTTTTTTCTGGCTCTCAGGAGGATACAGATAGGCCTGTCACGATAACAACTTTTTGTTGTGTGATATATTGCCCCAGAAATAATTGCGATAAGCGATATTATTGTCATTTTAAAGACCATTTTATGCCACTGAATATATAATCATAATGTAATAGCATAATAATGCAAGAAGACCTACACACTTCCACATGACAACAAACTTTTAATTTGTAAGAATATTTAGATCATGGAAATTAAGTATCAAAATATTAGATACCTTAAACTTGAATAAATAGTAAATAAACATTTCTAACAAAAAGTGCAAAGTAACAAGTAGAAAAAAAGAAAAATGCACGAAGAACTTGTATTGAGATTTTTCCATCTACAGATTTTTCCCTGACCTTCTTTTCTCTGTAAATTAAGGGTGCACACTATTGCTGAAAAACACAATCCCTACT